TTAATTATAGTCTCTTTTTTTTTCTGATCATAATAGTATTAGTGTTTTGGAAATAAAAAATGTGTTTATCTAACTTATATTTTAAATTTATATTATTTTAATAAATTTTTATTAAAAAAATTAAATTATCATATTTTTAAAACATAAATTAAAATAATTTTTGTCACTTTTTTCTTAATTTTTTAAAAATAAGGTAGATAAACACTAATCAATATCATATAATAAGGATAAATTTTTTTATTTAATTTAAAATTTAAATTTAACATCTCATGTTTTAAAATTTTAACTATTTAAAACATTTTAAAGAGTTTTTATATGATTCCTTGTGCGATTAAAAGTTTGCCTTGTTCCTTCCTGTTTTGTATGTTTTTTGGTTTTATACAAGAAAGAATTAGTTATTTGAAAGTATAAAAATATTATGATATTTTTAATATCAAAATATTTAATAATTATTATATAATAAATTTAATAAAATTAAATTTTACATTTTAGTTTACAAAAAAATAAAAATCAAAACATCTTAATGATAATACATCTATTATAATTATTTGTGATACACTTAACAAATAACTGTAACGAAATATTTACCAAAACATCTTAATTTTTCAGATGTTATTACATTTTATATATTTAATAATTATAAATTTATGATATTTAGCACTTGGCCCGTGTGGTCCAATGACTAAAGCTACTGAAAAGTGCACATCTTTCTCCCTGGATGGGTTTGGAACCCGCTCATGACAAAACTGTTCAAAAAAAAAAAAATCTATGATATTTCAATATAAAATATCTTAATTTGACCTTTCTTTTTCAAAAAATTAATAATGACTACTTTCGCTAAAGTTATGATTGATTGGCATGATAAGGTTTCTATTTTCTTTCCGTCTTTTGTTTTTGAAAAAGAGCGGTGCTAGGGGCACTCGCTTTTTACACTCTCCGGCGACACTTCCCATTTCATTGGGCCACGTAAGCTTCTTTAAAACCGCTTTCATCGCAACTTCTGGGAAACCAAAATAACGTGGCCCAATAAAAGAGAAAGTGTTGGCCGGAGAGTGCAGGAGGCGAGTGCCCCTAGCATTGCTCTTTGAAAAAAATCTGTGGGCGGCGCCGGCAGTAAAGAATTCAGTCGACGGCCAAACGCTGGCGTGTAGCCTCGTCATGCGTTTCCTTCTGTGGAAGAAATTGTTAATTCAAGGGGGCTAATTTGACATTTTACAAGGTCGGTGTGATACTTAAATACATTACCCTGTTTCCCTTTCTTCTCCTCCTTTCTCATTGGAGATCGGAGCCCGGAATGTTTGCTTCTCCGACTCCGCCTTAACGATCCCTTTCTTAACCTTTTTAATGGGTCAGTTTTTTCTTCGAAAATTTTGGAACTTTACAATGTTTGGAATTCTGTTGGATTTGGGAAATCTGTATTGAATTTCCTCGAGTTTTTGTTATGGTTTCCAGGTAATGTTGGAATCTGATTCCGAGACTCCATTTCGGTATAAAAACCTCTGGATGTTAACGGAGACCGGTTTCCAGCCCAAGATGTCAGGCTATTCTAGCGGAGAAGCGTCTCAGGTGGAGCGGGGATCTGAGAATTTTGGGTAATTATCTATGTCTTCGTGTCATCTCCTTTCCAGCAATCTTGGGGGTTTTTTGTCTTGATTTTTTCTGTTTAATTGCGAAGGTGTTCGCACTATAGAAGGAGATGCAAGATCAGGGCACCCTGTTGCAATGAGATATTCCATTGCAGACATTGCCACAACGAATCTAAGGTTCATAATTTCTTCCCTTTAATCTAATTTTATCGATAATCAGTGATTTTTAGTAGATATTATTTGGTTTGATCGTTGACCATAGCATTAATCTCTGAAGATGTGTATATGTTTTTTCTGAACAGAACTCGATTGAAATTGATCCTTTAGATAGACATGACATTCCGCGCCATGATGTAGAGAAGGTCTGTTGTTATGGGTACTGAAGCTTTGAAATTTAATTCTGTTCCTTCTTGAATTTGAGTCTTCCTGAGATGTTTTTCATGGTTTCTCTCAAATTTAAGGATTTCTATTTTGTTGACAACATTTTGTGGTTAAGAGATTAGGTAAATGCTAATATTATTTTCCGTTCTACAATTTGTTTTTCAGGTTATATGTTCCTTGTGTGATACAGAACAACCTGTAAGTTTCTGGAAAAAAGTTATTAACTTTAAGAACCAGGAAAATAATTTAATGTTAATATGCTTACTGGGTTCGATTTTTTTTTTGCTTGATGTGCGTTAGGTTCAACAACACTGTGCCAAATGTGGGGTTTGCATGGGGGAGTACTTTTGCTCTATATGCAAGTTCTTTGATGACGATGTAAGCCCTTGAGCTCTATTGTTGAAGATTTTAATCTGGATAGAAATATAATGCTTGCTTAATGAGGAAATTGTTTTAATTCTGTTAGGTTACAAAGGAACATTACCACTGCAATGAATGTGGCATTTGCAGGTTTGAGTTCTGTTAATATTTATCCTCTGATTGACCACTGGCCATTTCTTGTTCTGCTTCAAATCTCATGTGCATGTGTGGCATTAAGGTCTCATTTGGTTTTCTGTTGCAGAACTGGTGGAGCTGAAAATTTTTTCCACTGCAGTAAATGTGGTAAGATTACAGGCTTAAAAGGTTTTCATTCCATTAGAAATCCTTTTAATCCCACCTTTCTTTATTGTTAACTTTTGGAGTTCATCATTTAGGATGTTGCTACTCAACAGTGTTGAAGGATTCACACAATTGTGTGGAGAAAGCCATGCATCATGACTGCCCAGTTTGCTTTGAGGTAAACTTGAAAGAAAGACTGTTAAAAGTAATATGATGTCATATGGAACGTATCTCATTTGCTGCTAACATCCATTTAATTTTCTGTCTAGTTCCTCTTTGAAACAACAAAGGACATTGCTGTCTTACGTTGTGGGCATACCATTCATTTGGAATGTGTAAAACAGATGGAGCGTCACTCCCAGTAAGTCCTTTAACAAACACAAGTGGAACAACTTGTTTAAATTACCAATTTCTTGCACAAACCATTTTCTTATTTGTTTTATATGTTATTATTGGGCAGCCGGGTATGGTGTTAATAATGTTGTTGCAGGTATTCTTGCCCTGTTTGCTCAAAATCATATTGTGATATGTCTCGTGTGTGGGAAATACTTGATCGTGAGGTATGTATTTTATAGCAGATATGAATGCTGTGATGATGCTCATATACCCTATATCATGTGTTCTAATCTCTCTCTTAAATGTTTTGTGAAACAAATTTCAGATTGCTTCAACACCAATGCCTCAAATTTATCAGAATAAGATGGTAAGAAATATAATGAATAAGATTACGAGGCATTAGTTTTTGCAGCTACCATCATTTAGTTTTTTACCTGTAACTGACTTGATGTTATTATTGACTAGGTATGGATCCTCTGCAATGATTGTGGGGAAACTTCAGAGGTAAAGTACCATGTTTTGGCACACAAGTGCGTGAAGTGCAATTCATATAATACAAGACAAACTCGTGGAGGCCTTGCCTCGTGCTCCTCAGGGATTGAGGAGAAAATGCTGAGATGGCGGATTTAGTGGTGATCAATGTTCCTACTTTCTTCAAGGCTTCAAATGGTTTTTACTTGAAGATGATAGAAAAAAAAAGGGGGGGCTTTCACTTCAAGGTCCAAGTTATTTATTCACAGCTGTGGAGTGACGAAATTTCACCTTAGGCAATAGGTGGTTGCCAGAATACTCATTGCTTTAGTCTTTTTCCTGTTCTTGTTTCTGTATGTCTCTGCATTGTAGGAATGTGTTCAATAGAAGGCTGATCATATTTGTAACTAGTACCGTGTACTAACGTGTCATGGAAGGATCAGATGCTGTGTAATATGGCATTACTGGTAAGAAATAAATTTACGTTTGCTGAGCCTTTGACTCTTCTGCTAGTTAATTTTTCGTCACAATTTTTTTCGCCTGAACGAACGTCGATATTAATGATATCTGTTTGTCATCTGACAACGGAGTCCCCAGCCAACCACAGTGATACTGACTTGTGTTCGGAATGTATCTGCAAACTCCGCTTTCAAGAGTCATCATCAAATTCGTTGTCATGTATTGTGTAAGAAATTTGACTTTGATTATTGTGGATGGACACTGGGTATCAAAAGACCAAACCTATATTAAGCCCCGAACTTATTTTTTAAATTTTTTATTAAATTTTTTAAATTTTTTTAAAAAATAAATAAGCCTTTAAATTTAATAATTTGATAAATTTAATCATTTTTCTTTATAGTAAAGTTAATATCCATTTATAACTCATATACATGAATAAAATATTAATATGTCATTATATATGTAACTAGTATTGATCTTATTCATATAAATATAAACAAATATTAAGTTTACTGTAATGAAAATGATTAAATTAGACAAATTATCAAGTTTAAGGGTTTATTTATTTTAATAAAAATTTAGAAATTTATCAAAAATTTAGAGTAAATTCGGTAGCTTGACGTGGAGTTTTGCCTATCCAAAAATACAATCCTGAAGGGAAAATATCATGTAGCTTTGAAGGAAAATTGGTCGAGCATTATAGTAAGAGGAGACACTGCATCGTCATACGTACTACTCTGCTTGTACTAGAATTAGTTGGTACAATGGGTGTAGTCCTAGGCGGTGATAAGAAAACTCCATTTGTAACATGTCTACGCATCACATAGTTTGGCTGATAGATTCTTGGTGTGCTCTGATATTTAGAAGGTGTCTACACCTATCATGAGCAAGTTTTGGATCATAAGGCTTTCTAATTTTTTTAATTTTCTTTGTTAGCCCATATGACAAGGTCATAGATTGAGATATACTTGATTTTTCATTTCAATAACATGCTTTTCATCAATTTTTTTTTTTTAAAACAATCATAAAAAGTTTGGTAGGAAGGAAAATGGATTGACAAACTGATCACTCCAGTTCAATTATGAAAAACTCTCACAACAGAGTATACACATCGGTCCTTCTCCCCTATGGGTGGGAGGGAATTTGATTTCATCTACTGTTAACACACTCTACGGGTATTCTCTAGTTAGGTACATCTCTTCGATTTGGACCATAAAGTTGTATCTGGCGACCATTGAGGGGTTGTTCCGGTCTTGCATTCATCTCTGCATACTGAAAATCATTCCATTACCTAACATCAGATATGCCCAAAATCGCTCATTTCAAATACTATATGCTCTTTGCTAGAATTTGGTTATCTGACATAGGATGTATCAACATCTACTTACATCATGTACAGCTTTCCGGAGTACCTTAACTTGTTCCCTTGAAACAGTCCTTATCTGAAAACAAATCAAATGAAGTTAGAGATTCATCAATTCAAGTTCTGAAAGATTAAATACTAGACTTACCTTCTTATTGATAGTCCAAATGACACGTTCTGTACAAGGAGGAACAGTGAGGGAACCCATATATCTGTAATACTTCCTGCCACCCAACTTGATCTTGGTGGGATCGATCACCCCCATCTTTCTTTCTTGCACGTGATCATTCATGGAACTGATATTGCTAATCAACTGAAAATTTCAAAATTAAATTTAACATGTTAAGAAATTAATCAAACTCACCAATAAGATCTCATCAATCTTTTACAAACCACGTTTTCAATTACAATTACCTTGGAAAGAAAAGCATCAGGCTCTCCAAACTTGTACAAGGCTCCTATAACAGATATATTGTTCTTCACCTTAGGGTCTGAACTCGTATGTACCAAGTGTAGCTCCAAGGCATATCTAGTTTTCAAAGAAGACATCGTAAGTTGGATGAACTACATAGTTTCTGTCCTCAAACAAAGAGATATGAGTATAGAGTATAGATACCTTCTGCCATTGAGGGTGTGCTCAGATGGTGAGTGCCAGTGGCCTTGTTTGAGAAAGTATTCAGTGCCATTGATCTTGATTGATCCAGCATCATTATTCACCCATTCTAACTGCATTCAAAAGGAACATATAACATCTTCACAAAAGCGTATACATAAACTATGGTCCTGGACTCCTGGCTTCCTTAGAGGGTCGAGAAACAACTCTTTTTATGCCATGCTTGATTTAGCTATTAAGTATTAGGGAATACTGATAGATAATTGTTGATTTTAATAGGGTGAAACTATTTGTCCGATTAGGGAAAAACAACTACAACTCTTCCTTACCGCGATATCATGGCCTCTGTTCTTGAGAATGGCATGACAGGGCCTGTAATTCCTCTTCAACTCCCCTGACTTTCTGATCATCTTCACTCTCTGGTGTGACAGATCTATGGGTGATTGCAAACCTCCAACCTTGCAAGCCGCCCATTCTTTCTTCAGATCTCCCCAGTGTGCTGGCCCCTTCCCACTGTTCTCCAGGTAATCAAACTCTCTCTCATTCTCTGCAAATATCAGCGCATCTGTTTTAGTAATCTTGGTTTTAATCACAAGATTGAAGACATAATAAGCTAGCTAGCAGAATGACATTACCAACTTCTTGAGCTGAAACTGACACAGGGATGGAGAAGATGGACAGAGCAAGGAGCAGGAAGCAAAAACCCAAGATGGATTTGCTTTGAAGATTCATACTTTCTCAGGGACTATGATCTTGCAATGTCGGAATGGGCTGTAGTTGTAATTCTTGATTGGAAATCCTGTGGGGAGGAAGGTTTTGTGGTGGATGGGGAATATATAACTCAGCGGGAGACGATGGAGAAGTGAATTTCCGATAAGTTTCCTGCTGGAGATATCATGTCCAAGTTTCCAGGAATCATCAAACCCAACAATAATGCATAAGGCTGCATGTGGGACTGCTTTGGGTACCGTTGCTGTACTGTCTTGGCTGTATTGTATTATTATTGTGGTTGTATCTAATTATTTATTTTTTTAAAGTATTATAAATGAAATATAAATAAATTTTATTAATTATTAATTAAATTTTAAAAAATATTATAAGATATATAATTATTAAAATATATAATATTT